GAGTACTGGTATCGCCTTTCAGTGAGAATTTTGTATTTCTTCCAAATACGCAGCTTCTGACCGGTAGTTTGTAACAGGAGCCTTTAGGCTACATGAAGAAGCAGAAACTGCCTGTGGAGGTAACACCGAATGGTTCTAGTTCATTTATTTTACAAGCCAACAAAACCAGAATGGAAAAAGGTAGATTCCTCTATTGAGGCACATCAGTTTATGAGGACTTAGTGAATAATGACCTCAAAATAGGAACATATCAGGGGCAGTAAGGACATTGACCAATTCCAGTCTTTAATTTACTAGTATACCACAGTGTGTTATGATTTTTTCCAGTTGTCTCCAATCTACATATTTAAATCAAGAGATAAAACCTTTTTTAATTTATTACAATTTTTTTAAATGACAGCTTTATTGAGACAAAATTCACCCATTTAAAGTATGCAGTTCACTGGTTTTTAGGATATTCACAGAGTTGTATAACCATTACCACTGTCTTAAATTTAGAACATTTTTATCACTCAAAAAACGAACGCAATCACTCTGAATTCTTCCCTCTAATCTACCTGGCAGCCCCTAATCTACTTTCTGTCTATGGATTTGTCTAAAAGATAAATTCTTTTAAAAATAGTTTTGTGCCCAGCTGGCATGACTCAGTGGTTGAGCATCAACCTATGAGCCAGGAGATCATGGTTCGATTCTTGGTCAGGACACATGCCCAGTTGTGAGCTCGATCCCCAGAGGGGAGTGTGCAGAGGCAGCTGATGAATGATGTTTCTCTCTCATTGATGTTTCTATCTCTCTATCCCTCTCCCTCTCTCTCTCTAAAAAACCAATAAAAACGTTTTTTTATATTTTTAAAATATATTTTTATTGATTTCAGAGAGGAAGGGGGAGAGAGAGAGAAAGAGAGAGAGAAACATGAATGATTAAAGAGAATCATTGATCGGCTGCCTCTTTCATGCCCCCCACTGGGGATCGAGCCTGCACCCAGGCATGTGTCCTGACTGAATTTAACTGTGACCTCCTGGTTCATAGGTTGATGCTCAACCACTGAGCTATGCTAGCCAGACTAAAAACATTTTTTTAAAAAAGTAATTTTGTTTAATAACTGGACAGTTATTTGCATGTCTGTAAATGGAATATGACTATTAAAAGGACATAATCACTATTTTACATTCATAAAAGTCATCCATATATAATTGACCTAGGAACTCCTCTTTCTGATTTATTAAAGTTTAAAAATTATCTTGGGTTTAGTAAACAAAACAGCTTTCGTCATAGTGTTGAGATAAATCAAACTTTAGAGAATACTAGCACCCTTGGTTATTTTGTTATGTCTTCTATTAATTTTTTGCAGAGCTGGATTAATGTCTGGTACATCAGTAGGTGCCAATTAAGGAAGCTTTATTTTACTCTGGTGACAGAGCTAGAATTAGAATCCAGCTTCCCTCCCATTAAGTCTCCTCTTTCCATTACGCCACACATGTTTTCCAGATGTGCCCAAAGCTGTTTTTTTTTTTTTAAAACAAAACAAAACAAAACAAAAACATTTGGAAGCATTCCATAGAAGTGTGGATCATTGTTCTTTATTTCCGTGTTCTATCCTATTTTTTGTTACTAAGCATAAAATCACAAGTTTAAACTTGTTATTGTTTGAATGCTGAAATGACAAATAGGCTAAGGGAGAAGAAAGAAAAAAAATTTCCATGTTTTGCCCTGGCAGATTGTTCAGTGGTTAGAGCAGGGGTGGGCAAACTTTTTGACTCGAGGGCCACAATGGGTTCTTAAACTGGACCGGAGGGCCGGAACAAAAGCATGGATGGAGTGTTTGTGTGAACTAATATAAATTCAAAGTAAACATCATTACATAAAAGGGTACGGTCTTTTTTTTTTTTTAGTTTTATTCATTTCAAACGGGCCGGATTCGGCCCGCGGGCCGTAGTTTGCCCACGGCTGGGTTAGAGTGTTGGCCCACTGACTTAAGGGGCATGGGTTTGATTCTGGTCAAGAGCACATACCTCAGTTACAGGCTCAATCCGAGGCGTCAGTTGGGGTGGGTGTGGGAGGCAACCAATTGACATTTCTCTCTGTATGTCTCTCCCCCTCCCTTCCACTGTCTCTAAAAATCAATAGAAAAAAATATCCTCAGGTGAGAATTAACAACAATGAAAATTTCGGTGTTTTATGTCTAATAAGTATACATGTCCCATATTTCACAGTAAAAGAATTTATGTAAAGCAGGAGGACTTACTAGTAAATTCTGTGCAGCATTTTCAGCTTGAATACTTTATGTATTTAAATAGCTCTAGTCAAAATGCTGAATATGAATCAAGTAGGAGGAGACAATGACCACCTATAAGACTTTGTTGTTTGTATTTTAAATGTTATGGTGTAAATACAGACAGCAAAGCTCAGGATTCTTTTAATTTTTATTTATTGATTTGAGAGAAAGGGAGAGAGAGAGAAACATGGGTTTGTTGTTCCACCCACCCATCTGTGCATCCATTGGTTGCTTCTTATATGTGCTCTGACTGGGGATCAAACTCACAACTTTGGCATATCATTACACTGCTCTAACCAACTGAACTTCCTAGGATAAGCACACGGTTCTTAAATGTACAACTTGAAGTTTACACATGTATATGTGTATATAATATCATCACACAGATAGTATAAATAATATCTCAACACCCAGAAGGCTCCTTAGTACCTGGTATTTGTCAGTTACAACCTTCCTCGAGGTTATCACTATTCTGACCTATAAGCATGGATTCATGATGCATGTTAATAGCATCAAATGAGTCTCTTGTGTCTGGCTTCTCATAATTACAAGATTCATTCATATTGTGTATAGACGTAGTTAATTTTTTTCTTAATAGTATCATACAAGTATGGCACAATTTATGTATGTATTCACATGTTCATGGATATTTAGGATGTTTATAATTTTTTTCATTATTATGCCCGAAGCTGCTAAGAACATCCTAATACTTGTCTTTTTGTGAATATATGCACTCATTTTTCTGGGCCAAATGGTTTTAGTGTATTATAAACGTTCCAAATTTTTAAATTAAAACAGCCAAAATGTCAGGTCTTCTTCACAAGAAATTTTGAAGTTCACCTGACTGGATATATACCTCTTTGCTTCTATAATAGAAACTGGGGGCTAATAACATTGATTTCACAGTCATTTTGGGGTAATATCATGGGCCTATTCTACAATGGCAAGGGTTAGGAATGTTATATATTTGGTTATTCTGTAAATAGCATGCACCATGCTAGAAATTAGAGCTACAGCTTTGGAAGACATATACCCTGCTTCTACCAACCAGTGAACAACTCATTCAAACATAATGTGTAGAGTGCAGTGATTCAGAAATGAGAGTTATTGGGGGAATACTTAGGATGGAGCATCTCACTTAAACCTTTGTAGTCAGTGGAGACATCTTGGAGGAAGTGATATCTAAACTGGGTCCTAAAGATTGAATTGGAATTGGCCAGGTGGAGAGTGAGGGGGTGGGTGTTGAGAGGAGCAGGGCAATGGGAGCCTCTAAAGCAGTGGTTCCCAACCTTCCTAATGCCGCGACCCTTTAATACAGTTCCTCATGTTGTGGTGATCCCCAATTTCATTGTTACAAATGGAACATAATTAAAGCATAGTGATTAATCACAAAAACACTATGTAATTATATATGTGTTTCCCGGTGGTCTTAGGTGACCCCTGTGAAAGGGTCATTCGACCCCCAAAGGGGTGGCGACCCACAGGTTGAGAACCGCTGCTCTAAAGCAATGTTTCAGGCTTGGAAGAAATTGAAAGTAGCCAAGTAAGCAGAGACTCAGTGATAAAGAGCCTTTGGGCAATATCGAGTTTTGACATCCTCAGATCATTGATAACACTTTTTTTTATCATGGAAAACGTCAATCCTAACATGATAATAGAATGAACCCTCATATACAAATACCACTGTCCAGCAACTCCAGCTAATGGCCAATCTTGTTGAGAATACCTTTTCTATCCCCAGTGGATTGTTTTTGAAGCATTATGAGCCATCACGTCATCACTGAGGATTTTTAGCAATACTGTGACATGATCAGTTTTGTATTTTAGAAATCACACATTTCTAGGAATTTTAAAGTATCTTTTAAATGCATACACCATGGTTTGGGTGCTTCTCATGTGCTTTCAGTAACACAAAGACATCCGTCTCTATGCACTAGCATCTACTATTGGTAGTAGTTCGCATTTTTTTTCAAACTATGGAAGCAGGATTAAATGTTAAAATTATGTATTTATCTTCCCATGTTGGTTAATTTGCACTTAAAATACTATTAGTGAACATTTTGGCTTCTATAACTAGGAGAATGTCATAATCGATATAAAAGTTTGTTTCTAGGATTCAGCCTCCATAATAGCAAAGATAACTAGTATTTGGAAAGTAGAATTAGATTTATAGTATTACTCTGAATATTTTCTATAAATTCAAGTTGAGGAATTTACTATTCTTCTTTTATGGCAAAGGTTTTGTTACTTATCTACCTGTTGCAATTTGCTTGTTGATTCTGATGGCAAGAATTAATATAGATTAATTCTCACTTTTATTTTAAAACTATTTTTAGCTGTCTAAGGTCCTAAGTTAAAAACCCCTTCCTGGAGCTATTTTAGGTATTTTTGTGGATTTGGTAACTATTGTAATACTTTGGGATGGTACTGCATTTATTTTGTGAGAATAATCTTAATCTAAATCAGAGGTTGGCATACTGGCTGCTGAGACTGGTTCTTACATTTTTGAAGAGTTATTAAAATACCAGGAAAACTTTGCAACAGAAACCATATGTTACCTGCAATTTTAAAATATTTACTATCTGGTCCTTTACAGAAAAAGTTTGCCAACCCTGATCTAAGTTAATATAACTTAAATTCTGTTCACCTGCTTGTTTTCTTTGGGAAATGTTCCTGTAAGATTTGTTTAGAATGGACATTTGAAAATTTTCATTGTCTTCTACAGAGAAGATGGTGAATTAGAAGACGGTGAAATTGATGATGCAGGATTTGAAGAAACACAAGAACAGGAAGAGGATGAGAAGCAGAAAAATGAGAAAGCCTACAGAAAATCAAGAAAAAAACACAAAAAAGAAAGAGAAAAGAAAAAATCCAAAAGGAGAAAACGTGAGAAACATAAGGTCAGTTAGGATCTACTTTTTATTTTCAGTAAATTTTTATGAAATATAAAATACTGAAAATTAGAAAGTATAAATCATTGCTTATTTTCTTATAAAACATGGATTATATCTTTTACTTATGTGATTAATATATTTTTAACATGAATATTATATGAATTAAAGATTTAAAAAATAAGGTAGCTTTTAATGCAAATTAAAATAAACCTTTTTAGTTGATGGAAGTTTGTAGAATGCTGAAGCTTAGGGAATGAAAGTTTCATTCTCTGCAGATACAGATTAGCAGCATTGGCATTGCCCATCCATTTATTGATTTATTTACAGGCATCACGTGCTTGCTGTGGAAGTCTCCGTGTTGTGTGCTGGGGGTTATGGTAACAAGTGAAGAGGCCTCTGTTCTTATAGAGATTACCTTGAAAAGGGAACGAGAGGCAGTAAACCCATGATAAACAGATGCTATCAAGAAAACAGTAGAGTGCTGAATAGATAATGTGAATTGGGGTGGAGTAGAAAGGAAAACTATGCTGACAGAGAACCCAGGTAGTTTTTGAAACTCTGAATTTTCCCCATAAAAACAAAGCAATTAGGATATTGTCAAAACCAAAAAGTTACAATATCTACAAAAAATGAAGTAACAAGCTATCCCCACAAATGTCAAAAATACAAATGGATAAGACTAAACCACAAATAGCAACTGTATAATGAAGCAGAGGGAAGGTAAAAGGAACTTCCAGAAAACAGACTGGCAACAGGTGTTTTTCTCAAATGGCAGAGTCCCGAGTGAAGCTGGTTGAGGGCACCAATTCTATTCCCAGTCAGGGCCGATAGAGTTTATCATCAATGTTTCTATCTCTCCCTCTCCCTTCCTCTCTCTTAAGTCAGTAAGAACATTTTTTTTAAGTTAAGTCTTTTTTCCCAAGGTAAAAGTTCTTTACTCCAAGAAGACACTCAGAAATATAAAAGGAAAAAGAAACCACCTAAAATTAAACTAACGAGTGTAACCACTGTTAACATTTTTATATATTTCCTTCAAATCTTTTTTCTTCTGTGATTTTTCCCCTTAATATTGGAGACATACTGTTTAATTGATTTTATATTTGGTATATTTACTAATATTACAGATAAACATTTTTATGTTACTCTAAAATCTTCCAAAATACCATTTTAATTGATTGTTATATCCTTTAGTAAATCATTCTCTTCGTATTGGACATGGAGGTCATTTGTGGTAAATTTTGAAGTATAGGTGGGAATTAGATAGTTGGCCAAAGAAATCCAGAGAATACGAAAGCAAAAATTGTGAAAAGAATTGCATGTTTGGGGAAATCACTGAAGTTCCTAAATTCTTTCTGTCACTATTTGAATATTTAAGGGGGTCACCAAGTGGCTTCCTGTTAATTTGTTCTTGAATTATATGTCTTGCCCTTTTCACTCACCATGATGTGATGTGATGTTTTTTGGTAAAGAGTTCTATAAAAAACAAAATAATTTAGACTTGAACTTTAGTACTTACTAATCAAGTTCAGCATATTGAAGGAAATAAACTACCAGTGTATAATAAATAAAATAACAAAAAATGAAGGAACACTTTCAAACACTTTGAACAGATACCAACAATACCCAAAAAAAGGAAGAAAAAGTATAACATCCTTTTCACTTAAAATTTTAATAACTTTTAATTAGCATTTCCAGCTATTTTAATGTAGACCAATTGCTAATTCCAGATTAATGATTACTTCTTAGTATATATGTGAGCCCATAAGGTTCTCCCTTAAGCAGAACTTCTATTCTCTGATAGTTCTTCCTGAAGCAGTCTTCATTTAAGCTACTACTTTCTTAAGTTATCTTCTTTAAGTGAAAAGTTTTCCTTTGAGCTGGAGCTGACTTCTGTTAGCGACTGAACAAATTTGGCTTTTAAATGGACAATATTTATTTCAAACCCTTACCAACAAAGATTAGGTAGTTAAGCATGAAACATTTCATAGCATAATTGTAAAAAGGTTTCTTCATATCACTTATCGAGTCAATAAAAACAGAACTAACAGCACCATAAAACTAAACCCCAGAACATTTGAAGAACAAAGTAGAGGAAAACAGATTGTGTTCCTTAAAAAGCATTTAAGAATGTTAGTAGAGGAGCCCGGCCAGTATGGCTCAGTGGTTGAGCATCGACCCATGAACCAGGAGGTCACGGTTCATTCCCAGTCAGGGCACATGCCCAGGTTGCTGGCTTGACTCCCAGAAGGGGGCGTGCAGGAGGCAGCTGATCCATGATTCTCTCTCATCATTGATGTTTCTCTCTCTCCCATTCCCTTCCTCTCTCTGAAATCAATAAAAACATTTTTTTATAAAAAAAGAATGTAGTAGAGGAAAACAGATCTACTCTAAAAGCATCGGAGTTCAATTAACTCAGCCAAATTTTAACTGAGTTTGCTCTAGGTCTAGATACTGGGAATGCAATAAGGATAAAATACAGAGGCAGTTCTTCACTGATAAGACCTTTAGGAATTCTTTAAAGAATGCTCAACCTGGGAACGTAATTATTTTGACTAGATGGAGGAGATTTGGTGACTTCTTTTTTTTTTTTTTAGAAATTGTACTTATACTTGAAGAATGATATTTGTCACTTTATCAATTACTGGTGGTTTCTGTTTTACTTTTGTTCAGTTTTATGGGTTGGATTTATTTTATAATTTAGAATGTTTTAATATCTTTTAGCTTTAGGGTACTTATATAATAGAATAAGAACTCTAAAGCCATTTTAGGTAAAAGTAAATTAATTCATACTCTACGCATGTTCTAGAATCATTTTTGGTGACGAGGAACCAACTTTATTTCCTTTAAAATTAACTTATATCTAAGGTTTCTTTAGAGCATAGAGATTTAGTATTTCCTGTTTGAAGTCCTTGAGCCAAAAGTATGATGAGGAAAATTCTGTCATGAAGTCCCTGAGATGAGGGGAAGATATGCTTTCCCTCAGAAAATTTTAGAGAATTTTTTTGGGGTGTGGCCTTTGGAGCAAGAAATTGTTTTTTAATATACTTTATTGATTTTTTACAGAGCGGAAGGGAGAGGGACAGAGAGTTAGAAACATCCATGAGAGAAAAACATTGACCAGCTGCCTCCTGCACACCCCCCACTGGGGATGTGCCCGCAACCAAGGTACATGCCCTTGACTGGAATCGAACCCGGGACCCTTCAGTCCGCAGGCCAACGCTCTATCCACTGAGCCAAACCAGTCAGGGCTGGAACAAGAAATTTTTAATAAACACTTTAGAACCTACTAGGCTAATGTAATCTATTGATTAGCCCCTCTGGCTGAAATAAGCTTATCTAGTTACTAGTTAAATATTCTTTTCTTTGCAAAGTAACATATTTGTTTTTTCCTTCTTTTAGCATAATTCTCCATCTAGTGATGACAGTTCAGACTACAGCCTTGATTCAGATGTCGGACATACAGAAAGTTCCCACAAAAAAAGAACTGGTTTCTACAGGGATTATGACATTCCATTTCCTCAGGTATTGTCTTTTTTTTATTGTAATAAAATACACATAGCATAAAATTTACAGTTTTAACCATGTAAACATGTACAGTTCAGTAGTGTTAAGCGTATTCACAATAATCCATTTTGAGAACTTTTTCATCATCCCAAACAGAAACTGTGTTTCTGTCTACATATGTATAAAAGCCTAAGCGACCATTGCACTGTTTGACCATTCGACTGGTAGCTGTGACGCACACTGACCACCCGGGGCAGATGCTCTGACCAATAGGTTGCTGCTGGGGTCCAGCCAATGGGGAATGGGTGAGGCGGACCAGACACGCCCTGGAGCCCTCCTGTGGTCTCTCCCCAGCCCTGATCGTGCACGGGTAGGGTCCCTCAACCTGGCCTGCACCCTCTCGCAATCCGAAACCCCTTGGGGCATGTCAGAGAGCTGCAGGCCAGGCTGAGGGACCCCACCCGTGCACGAGTCTGTGCACTGGGCCTCTAATTAAGCAATAAAACCTCATTAGTTCCCCCCTAGCTCCTGGTAACCACTGTTCTGTCTCTATGAATTTGCCCACTCTAGGTACCCTATATAGGTGGACTCATACAATATTTGTTTTTTTGTTATTAACTTACAAATTTTTCAAGGTTCATCCATGATGCAAACACATGTGTCAGAATTTCATTCCTTTCTAAGGCTGAATAATATTCCATTGCATGCATATACCACACTTTGTGTATTAATTCCTCTGTTGATGGCCACTTGGATTGTTTCGACTTTTTGTTGTAAATAATACTGCTATGAACGTAGGTGCTACTCATAGGAATGGAGTTTCTGATTGTATGCTAATTCTGTGTTTAATTTTCTGAGGAACCACCATCCTGTCTCCCACAAAGGCTGCATCGTGTTACATTCCCACCAACAATACATGAGGTTTTCTGATTTCTGCACATCCTTGTCAAACTTGTTATTTTCTGTGGGTTTTTTTTTATAATAGCCTTCCTAATGGGTACGAAATGGTATTCATTGTGGTTTTGAGGTATTGCTTCTTAAAAAAGGAAAAATTAAACTTTCAATTTTATTCTTTGCTTTCTGATCTTTTGCAAAGATATTTTATAAGATATATGCTTTAAAATACACCATGAATTGCTGTGCTTAGGCTGCCGTAAGAAAATACTACAGACCAGGCAGATTAAACAACAGAAGTTTATTTTCTCTCAGACTGGGGGCTGGAAGTCTAAGATCCAGGTGCTGGCAGGGTGGTTCCCTCTGAGGAAGAGGGAAGGATTTGTTTAGGCCTTTCTCCTTGGCTTGTCAGTGGCCACCTTCTTGCTACTGTGTCCTCACATGGTCATCCCTCTGTGCATCACTCAACCCTGGTGTCTCTCTGTGTCTCCAAATTTCTTCTCATAAGGGCACCAGTCATAGTGGATCAGGGCCCATCCTAACAGCCTAATCACCACTTTAAAGGCCTGATCTCCAAATACACATTGTGAGGTACTGGGGTTAGAACTTCAACATACAAATTTTGTGACATCTACCTCTTTAAATGGAAAAATTATTTGAAGTGTTTTAAACAAATATTTTAAGACATCATAATAAACTTTATATATATATAAATATATATATAATATATATATCTTAAATATGTTGCACTGTCTCAACAAAGTCTTCAGTATAAAAACTATTTTGTGCTAGAAAGATTAGGGCTCTCAGGAGCATTGGAGAGTGTTCACATCAGTGTGCTCCTATCTGAAAAGCCCCAGACTTTCTGAGGCCCAGTTTCTGCCAGTCTGGCTTGTCTGCAAGTGCTATATTCTTTCACCTAATTTGGTTTTTCTCAGAGCATTTGAACAACTAACTATTCATTAGAATTATTTTTACTACTAATAACAGAATTCCTAAATTAGTTCTATTTTAGCAAACATTGATGTGGTACCTAAATTTCACCACTTGCAGTTAGATTTATTTTTTAGAAATAGTCAAAAGTCATTTGGATACTCTTCTAATGAATGAAGAAATGCTCAAGATGGGCATTGCTATTTCAGAAAATATCGGATTGAGATTTATAAACTGTTGATTCATAGGCTGTCACTAAAAGTAATTCCAAAAGAAGAGATGCAGAATATTTTAAATAGTGGCAGAAGTACTATAATAAGTTTATACATATCTTAAATATATATAAACTTATTTGGGGGCCACTGTGAAGGACAGGATCAGTTTGTATGTACAAACAATAGCACATTTGTTTTAAACGACTAATTTTCTTAAACAATATAGTTATTGTCATTATATCAACTATTGTATATCCCTAGAGATACAAGAATTTTTGTTTCAAGAACTCAAAGAAATTAAGTAAAACGATATAATATCTACAAAATTACAGGCCAAAAGTAGAATATATATGAACACCAGAGGACTTAATATACCTTCCCTTTTCCTCACCTTTGTCCAGGGCCTTCTGGTCCCTTATTTCATGTTGACGGAGATTGCCGAGGGGCCAGCTCCCGTTTGGCAGAAACAAGACGTTCTAGCAGTGTAGATGGCCTACTAACCAGCCAGCATAGTGGTCAGAGAAACTGTATCCTGTGATAGAATTGATAGTTTTTCTCATTTCTTTTATTTTTTTTCAGTTGGGCTTTGAAAAACACTTGCTAGATCCTTGCTGGTGTGTTTTGTTCATTCAGACGATGAACATGTGCAGCCTAAGGAGACGTTTTCCTAGAGCATGAAAGGGGCTGCTTGTGGCCAGCCTGGCCCTGACCCTCAGGGAGCCAGAGACTTCCACTGGAAAAGGAGCCCTGAGACAGGATGTTTGCCGTTGTGAAAACTAGGGAGAAGATAAAGTGAAAGCTAGGGATAATTCTTTTAAAAACTAGGAGTATGAAGATTATTTTTGTGAAGGCCATGACAAATCAGAGAATTGAATTAAATTAAGACTTAAAAGCTTTTATGATACACATCTAATCTCTAGAGAAAAATTCCTACTCACCTATTAAGAGTAGTTTTTAGTCATAAAGCATTGGATATATTATTGAGGCAGTGTTACTATATTTTTATTTTAAAAAGTAGATACCATTCAACTAATTAACTTAATTTAAACAATTATTTTCTGTTTTGTTTCATTGGCTTAAAAAAAATCAGAAACTGTGCCTTTTGACTACCATTTTGATTTCTTTTCTGAATTTCTGAAGTGCTAGACTTGAGAATAGTTTATAAATTTTAAAAATACTGCTTAAAACAAATGAAAAATCTAATACAATGTCTTCAGTATTTGAAATTTATGAGCTAATTGATTTTCTTGATTGTGTTAATTACATATTTTCTCTAATTTCTAATTACTGAAAAGAACTTAATATTTCGCTGCATTTTATTAAAAACTCATAGTCGCATGTTGGTATTCTGACAGGGGCAGTATTTTTATATCACAGTTAAAATGTATAAACTGGGTTTGTCTGGATTCTCAAGTTGTAATTACAATCTTTTTTGCTTTCTTATAATAAAAAAATTGACAGAAGATATGATAGACCTAATAAAGTGAATAGAGATAGGCTTGAATACTGTCATTAAATAAATTTCTAGGACTAAAAAGTGTGTTGTTTTCACATGCTTTAGTAAAGAAGCAATAAAGTTAATAAAGTATATTGTCATAAATAATTCTTAATGAATAGTTTATTAGATATCTTTTATTTCTAGCGAAATAATCTATTTTTCAATATTAGACCTCAGATACAAATATTTTCTTAGAAAAATGTCTAAACATATCATTTTTTTATTAAATATAATATGCTTAAACATGTAATTTTGGAACTTTTCAACGTTAGAACAATATATATGTTTTTCTACCCCTCCCCCAAGCTATTTTACTATACTTTCCTTATTTTCAAAAAGACTTTTTCTGTTTTTTGGAGAAGGAATTCATGTATGACAGGAATTCACATAAGTATCCTGTATGTACAAATGTTGAGACATGGGACATGGAAAGCAAAAAGTGAATAAAACATCCCAGCAAGGATCTTTGAACATTATGAAATTTAATGATATCAGAGTAGCATTTACTTTTTAACTTATTTTCAAATGGTGTCCTAGATCAGTACTAATCAAAGGGCAGAACTAATAACTATCTCCTTTCTTCCAACTTTCGGGGGGAGAAAAGAGGTCTTATGGTACTCTCAATTCCTGTATGTAACTGAAAAATCCTAACAGTGGATTGTCCGTTTCCACTTAGCATGGGCACATATCAGGAAGCTACGCGACATCAAGGAGGAGTCAATATAACAAAAAATTTAAAAGTAAAGAATATGGTGAGTACAGTACCTACAGTGATGACAACTTCGGTAACTACAGTGATGACAACTTCGGTAACTACAGTCAGGAAACAGAAGAAGATTTTGACAGTCAGCTCAAACATTACAGACAAGCTAAAGAACCCTCCAGTATTGCTTTAGGATCATCATTTTTTAAAGAACCAGGGAAAAAACAAAGAATGAAAGGAATTCAGCAAGGTAAGTTTTAAATTGTCAATCTGTTTTTAAATATAAGAACCTTATTAAAATAGGTAGTGATGGAGTAAAAACTTACAGTTCTTAGCCCCTTTTCAAGATCAGTTTATTCATTTTTGTTTATTTTGTAGTCCTTGAGGATAAAAATCTATAAATATTTCAATCTGTATGAAATCTTAATATTTGAATTATAAAGATACCCTAATATTTTAGAAGTATGTAAAAGTATAAAACAATTTTCCTCTTATATTTTTCCCTGAAATATACTACTATACTTATAAAAAATAACCTACCTTTTTCCATTCTCTCTGATGCTCTAAGTACATATATACTTTAGACCAGTAAAGACAGAGTTCTGGGAAGCTATTCTTTCTTTGTTTATCCTCACCTGAGAATATTTTTTCCATTGATTTTTTTAGAGAGTGTAAGGGAGTGGGGGGAGAGAGAGAGAAACATCAATGTGAGAGAGACACATCGATTGCTTGCCTCCTGAGTGCGCCCCAACCAGGCCAGGAATTGAACCTGCAAATGAGGTATGTGCCCTTGACTGGAATTGAACCCATGATCCTACGCTTAACCACAGAGCCAAACTGGCTAGGGCTGGGAAGCTATTCTTTTGTTAGGCTTTAAAATGTGGTTACCTTTACTATGCATGTGTACTTAGGACTATGGACATATATCAAGATTGGAAATAACCTAATCTAAAGAAATTTCTACAGTCATCACCTATTCATCTGCTATATTGAGACACATGGTCCCTGGGAAGGTCAGGGCAAGTTACCATAGAAAGACATGGTGGGCCCCATAACGGTCGAAGCAAGCTTAAGAAATGTTCAGTCAATGTGCTCGACTCAAGAAAACTGGAGCAAGATGAGGCTGAGGTTAAACAGTGGGCACCCAAACTCTGTGAATCTATCCTTTAATTGTTGTTGAGAAAAGCAGTTAGTGACAAGTAAATTTGGTTATTTCAATGGCTTTTTTTATTTCTTAGCAAAATTTAATTGAAAAATATGAAACTAGGCTTTGCTGAACTAAGGAAAAGAAATTTGACTATGCATCTGCTACTGTAATTATAGTCCAACAGTGGTGTGGAGATAACTCCACATGGGAATACCCGAATGTGGAGGCCTCTTCATCCCTTCCCGCTGAGGTTTTCCATCAGGCGCTTTCTGTTTGTGCTGTTAGTGAACTGAGTGATACATTTATTTTTGACATTTGTTTTCTCCTGGATTATGGAAGGAATATATGGCCAAATGCAGAAAACTTTTCTTATATGTAGACAAGATAATCCAGCAAAGATCAAAGATAAAATAATTTTAATCCCTACTTCCAGAGATAATTACTTGAACATTTTTGGTTTACTATACATTCTTTTAGAATTTTTCTGACAATTATTTTTAACAAAAACTATACTGTGGTAATTTATTCCCCACCCCCCCTTAACTTCTAATGTTAATAAGTAGCTTTAAATGCCTGCATTCTAGTAAAAGTAAATATACCATAATTTGTCTAACAAATTGTTATGTTTGTTTGATGTAATTGTTTGAGATTTAAGTTGCACCCAGTTTTTTAAAATTCTGTGATTAATCTTGCATATTTATACATATATCAGAAAACACCTTGGCAGACGTATTTCTTGGGATAAATTCTGAAATGTAGAATTGAGTCAAAAGACATAGCCACACATTTGAAGATTTTTGATTCATATAGCAAGGTGATATCCAAAAAAGTGATGTGCCTGTTTAAAAAAGTGATGATCCCTGCTAGTGTGTGAAAATGCCAAACTCTCCAAGTCCCTACACACAGTATTCTTTGAGGTGAAAATTGGTATGTTATTTTTTTAATTTTAATTTCTCTTAATGAGATAAAACTTTTTATGCACATATTTATTGGCTATTTTGTAGGTTTAAGGTCATTAGAAAATGTATTAGTTCAGTATGACTTTGGTAAAATAAGAAATCATTTTGTATTTTAACTTCCTACCCTAATAAATACTTTCGTTATTTGGCTATCTTTTTAGATGCTTTTAAATAGCAAGTTTTTCAAAAGTAAAAGACAAGTCGCCCAGCTGGCGTGGCTCAGTGGTTGAGTGTCCACCTATGAACCAGGAGGTCACAATTCGAATCCAGGTCAGGGCATATGCCCAGGTTGTGGGCTCAATCCCTAGTGTGGGGTGTGTAGGAGGTCATTGCTCAGTGATGCTCTCTCATCATTGATGTTTCTATCTCTCTCTCCCTCTCCCTTCCTCTCTGAAATCAATAAAAAAATATATTTTTTTAAAAAGTAAAAGATATGTTTTACTTGGAAATATATGTGCTATGTACTCAAAATTATCAATAGAAACTCAATTCACTATAAATTAACCACTAATACCTACAGTGTCTTCCATAGAGATGAATATAATATTTAATTCTCTGAAAAACTGAAAGCCTTGTTAATTGCTTTTTCTAAAGAAAATTGAAAAGAATGAAGCTGGATTTGACTTCTCCATCCATGTACGTCCTTGTTCCTTGTCTTCCTTAATGTTGTTAACATCCCTTAAGAAACAAAAGAGCCCTGGCATGGTGGTTAGTTTGTTGGAGCATCATCCTGTATAAAAAAAGGTTGGGGTTCAGTCCCATACAGGTCAGGGCCTGTATGGGAGGCAACTGACCAATGTTTCTCACATCAAAGTTTCTCTCTCTTCCTTTCTCTGTCTAAAAAATCAATGAAAACATATTCTTGGGTGAGGATTAAAAACCAAAATAAAAGTATAAGAAGCAATGCCCAGAAAGTTTTAACATGTAAAGATTGAAATAATTTTTTTCATTGAATTTAGAGGAGAAAGATGCACTGTACATTATAGACTGTTAAAAAATAAGGTGTTGCCCTGGCCGGTGTGCTTAGTGGTTAGAGCATCAGCCACACACTGAAGGGTCTTGGGTTTGATTCCCGGTCAAGGGCAGGTCTCTGGGTTGCAGGTACGATCCCGTGCCCTGACCAGGGTACCTGCTGGAGGCAACCAAGGGATGTGTCTCTTTCACGTCAGTTGCTATCTCTCCCTCCCCCTCCCCCTCCCCCTCCCCCTCCCCCTCCCCCTCCCCCTCCCCCTCTCCCTCTCCCTCTCCCTCTCCCTCTCCCCTTTCTTCCTTTTCTACCACTCTCTCTAAAAGCACTGGAAAAAAAATATCCTCAGGTGAGGATTAACCAAAAACAAACAAACAAACAGCTGTTTCCAATAAACTAATATATTGACAGGTGTACTGTTTTTCTATAGTATTTGAAGTACATTTTAACTTTTTTAGGTACTGAACAGAGGCTTAAAAGTTTTAATGTTGGTCGTGGACGAGGTTTGCTGAAGAAAATCAAACGCAAAGACCGTGGGGGAAGAGTCAGTAAAGGGCCCAGTATGTTTTCAGGAATGGATGACTTTCAAGAGGTACTGAGTTTATGCGTAATGAGGAGATTAGCTTCTCCATCATTTAACCTATTTGGCTACAAATAAAGCATTTGATTTTAATGCTACTTTTCTAGTAAAATGAATCATTCTTAGTTCAGATCAAATTAATATAAATAAATTCCAAAAAGTAATTGTTTTTTAATTAGTCATGATTATAATATAGAGATGCAAATTTAGGTGACTTTGAAATAATACTGATATGTTTGAAAGCAGTTCAAAATAACAGTGGTATATTTGGAAAGCAAAAACATGTTCTGTTAGTTCTCTGTTGGGCTTTCCTTTCCTAGGAGTTGTCTTCGCCAGATGCAGATGGCAATAAAATGGTAATAGCTCAATGTGTAGCAGGCCAAGAAGAGAGACAGTAGTAAATTAGCTAACTGAAGTTGAAAGCATTAAAAGAGAAGAAAAGGAAATATAAATGGTTGGAAAGATGAATTTATGAACTACCCATATGGTAGATAGCAAATAAATATATGTTAACTTGAACTCAGATGTGTACATTTCAAGTGTGTAGCTACTTTCTGTAGTCTGTATTCTGCCCACAGATCCAGTGAGGTCTGACTGAATTCACAGATAAGGGTGGGTTATAAAGCTGCAACCTTAGTTGAGAGCAAGGGGATAGCAATCGATTGTAATTTAAAATGCTTGGTTTTCTGATCTCTGGGCTTAAAGATAATAGGTAAAGATTTCTTAATATGTACTCCTTAAGATACTACTTAGGGAAATGTTAGTAAGTGTGACCTAAAAAAGGAAGTTGAGGCCCAGATAAATTTGTGAAACTCTACACATACCACTCTTCCCTTAGGATTCTCAGTCATCATTGACATATTAAGGGCTCTGCACAGATTAGGCACAAATAAGCCTGTTCATGTTCTGTGGAATAGTAACTTTGAACATTATAGACTGTTAAAAATCTTTTTGGGTGATTCTAACCTGCCTGTCCATCTTCTGTACCAGTTGACCTCCAGAATGTGCTGCACTCCCTAGACCAAATTAGTATGAATACTTTCTAAGTAAGCCTTCTATTACATGCATTACCTACCCTATACCTGGGGAAAAATAGCTTCCAAGAAAGCATGGCTTCAAGCAAGTTTCTGCCTGTCTCTGTGAGCTTCAGTTTGCTAAAATGAGAATACATACAGTATTAAATTAACTGTAAGGGCCCCTTCAAGCTAACATTTTAGATGTTTACAGATCTGGTCTACAACTAAAAGATGCTTTGTCATGTAATAGAAAATCAGAATAAATTCTTCTTCAGTCATCAGATGTAGACACTTTTTTTATTTATTGAGATTAAAATCTGTCATCGACTGTCCATTTATTGGTTGTCATGAGAGATTTCTTTTTGCGATCTTGGAAACAAGGGTGAGAGTGCTTATGTTCAGACCCACCCAGGGTTGGGTGGACATGCTGAGTGGCTGGCATAGATCCACTTCCATCCTAGTCTTTTGAGGAAGTATAAGAGCCCCAGAGGCCAGATAAGTTCGGGAATACCTGCACATCTACACTAATTTCTTGAAAACTCAAGGGTACAGAACAAGCAAACTTCTCCTGGATTTTAAAGACTTATTATTTATTCTGTTGGCCATAAAATTCTTTAAATAGTTTAGTCTTTATGGTAGCTATTAAATTTTCTATAAATATGTGTTCTTTTCCTGGTAGATCCTTCCATTTCCCCTTCCTCATATACTTTTAAAAATCTTTTATGCTTTTGTTCGTTGTACCAATATAATACATGCTTTAGAGTAAATTTAGAAGACCCAGTAGTGGGTTGGGTTTTCTTCTCTCCCTTCACCTTTCCCATCTCTCCCTCTTTCTTAAGTTTGTGTTTTCTTAAGAGATGTATGAGTTACTGCAGAGCTGCTAATGTGCCATGTGATTTTTGGTAAATCACTAACTTCTCTGATCTGCAGTTGTCATAATCTGTCCAGTGAGGGTGATAAACCAGTGACTTCTGCCGTCCTTTCAGCTTTTACTTAATAAGAGGACATTTGTGGTCATTCGTAGGCTCAAACTTAAAAGATCAGATCTTCTGGGCACTTTATATTGTTCTAAAATTGTATTTGTTAAAGTTGCTTAGATTTTCTAGAATACCTTGATTATAGTTAGAGTTCTCATAGTTATGTTTACTGAGATATATTCTACTCATTTAAGCAGAACTAAACTGGAAAACAAAACAAAAACTACAATCCTCTATTAAAACACCGAGGCATATCATTAGAAAGCAACATAGACTGACAGAAAGAGACAAAATGAGAGTACACACAGTATTAAATTAGTAAAGCCTAAGTACTACTTGGTGCATTGTTAGGGGGTTCTTTGATGATAATCACTAGATATTTTTACTGTTTAATTTCGGAGTATATTTCTCAGGTTGGCTCACTGGCTTTGCATAATGAATTCTCTTCAGCTGTCTATTTCATTATAGCCACGATTCTTTATACAGATGGCATATGTGAGCTGGTCATTTATATTTACTTTTTCAAAGTGAGCCAGAAATAGGAAATGTTTGTAAGTCAGATTTACATAGATTTAAGATATTTTCAGTGATATGTAAGAGTAAAATATACACAATTTTATTCTCTCCTGGGGCAATTTAGGTATACTTATATTTTTAAAAAGAGCCTCAAGGATTATGTTTTCTTGGTATTGTGCTTTTTAAAAGAATTCTTAGAGTAAAATGGATACTTCTGCTCTGAGCATTGAGGATCAGGTGTAAATCTGGCCATCTGTTGCTCAAAGTGTTTGCTTTGAGGCAATTTCCTATTTCAGTAGATTGTGCAATATTGTTCTCTGTCTTCTAGTAAATTGAGGGAAAAGGGAAACTGGAATCATATCAGGAGAGCAAATAGTCACTGCACTTCTACGGTGCGCCAGGCACACACATGAGGGGCGCTCAGAGAACAGTGCTGCTTCATGGCCACGTGAATGGCAGTCCTTAGCACAGCCAAGCCCCATCCCCTGTCATGACTCAGTCTTCCTATACGCACAGAAGTCAAGTTGGCACCTGAGGAGAACAAAGGAAAACATAGGGCTGTGAGATTTGCCGTCATACACTTTTTTCCTTAATTTTTTAAAATTTATAAATTAAAGGTAATACATCTTCACTGAGGATTTTTTTTCTCTAAAGAAAGTACAAAATAATCTAATTTTTAAGAGAATCATCTAGAGACATACACTTCAATGTGGGGGGTATATTTTTTTGTTTTTTATTTTTATTATAAAATTGGGATTCATTTTGGATGTGTAGAATGTTTCTAGGGTTTTTGTTTGTTTGGTGTGGTGGTTTTTATTTTATTTTTTTTACTATGTAAGTAATTCTGCCATTGTTATATTTATGAATAAATCTTTGTGTGCCTTCCTGATAATTCCTTTAGAATAATCCTATAAAGTACAAATTCTGTGTCAAACAATATGGAAATTTTAAGTCTTTTATAACATACCTATCAACACTATATTTTATTGTTTCTTTGCCAAAATGGGGTATTATTGTTAATTTTCAAGCTTTTCATAATTTTATGCTTTAAAATGTAGTTATACATTCTCCTTAAAATAGAAATAGGGTTCTTTGCAACCACTAGTAGCATACGCTGTTCACTAGAAGCATATCTCTCTCCAAATAAATGAGTAACCTCAGAATGTCCCATCTTGCCCACTTTTAATAATGAATTTGAACTGCTTTCCAGATTCATTTGACTGTACGTTTTAATACCTATTTAATATATGTTGCACTTAAATAAAAAATTTTTCTTGCAGTATAATAAACCAGGGAAAAAATGGAAGGTGATGACTCAGGAATTTATTAATCAGCACACAGTGGAACACAAAGGAAAACAAATCTGTAAATACTTTCTGGAAGGGAGATGTATTAAGGTAAATTCACAGGGGTATCATAAATCATTTCACTTCCAAAATGCTCTTTAAAATTTAAACCTTTTTGGGTTTGTTTGTTTTTTTTTTCATTTCTCATTTAGTTGTAATAAAACTGGTTCTTCACAATGTATCTAATGGAAATACTATACATCAGAACTCATTTAATTATATTTTGGGATATTGATGTAATTTGTTGAAATTAGATTTTATTTAATAAACACACTGCTGACTGTGTGGCAAGTCCTGTTCAAAGTGGATTACTAATATTAAATGTTTGAATCTTTATAGTAACCCTAGAAAGTGGTTACTATTACTGACCCATTGTAAACACGGCCACACCAGATGGTTAAATTAGTCCCCATAGTAGCTCAGCTAGACATGGTGAGTGGGCAGATGCCCCTGAGCCTGCACTGTGCTGCCTTTGCACATACTAGTAGCCACACCCACCATCTTGGGCAAAAACTCTTAAGAAATTGTTTGGATTATTAGCTCATTATTTAAAGACTGAAGATATAACCATAGTTCCGCTGTGAAATGCCATGGAGAAAATTCAATTCAGTTGTTTCTTTTTTTCTCTTTGTTTCCTCCTTTCTTTTCTTTTTGGAACAGGGAGATCAATGTAAATTTGATCATGATGCAGAGTTGGAGAAGAGGAAAGAGATCTGCAGATTTTATTTACAAGGATATTGTACGAAAGGGGAGAACTGTATTTACATGCATAATATCCTTTACTGAGAATATGTTAACCAAAATATTGAGGTTTGAAAAAATCATTGAGGGTTTGAAAAATCCTAAGTACAACCTAGAAAGCCTAGTTTGATTTTAAATTTCAAACAACACATTACACAAACTAAGTCTAGTCAGCCTTTGTACTTTAGAAGGGCAAGCTGAGTTTTTTTCTTTAGGGAAATGAAATAAATAACATCCCTGTGGAGAAAAATCTGTGAAATAAAGGTACTTTGTATTTAATATACACTTATATGTATTTCAATAGCATGGGTTCCTGAAAGAGTTGGCAAAATACAGGGTGTCCCTAAAAAATGTATACATGCTGTAACAGCTGATAGCTCAATTTTGAAAATGAAATGTATTTTAATAAATACTGTCTTTATAATTATTCAAAGTTTGTGTCTACATCTTTGGGGATACCCTGTATTTATGTTATGACTTTATTATTTTTACTTAGGTTCATAAGTAATAAACTATCATTGTTAAACATTATAAAATCAGAGTCTCATCAAATCTTACCCCTAATTATCACTGTATATTCTTCCTCATTCTTTCTTTAGAAATCTATACATCTAAATTGTACACCTGCCCCCATTCAAATTGGTATTTCACTATATGTTTATAGTTCTTTAAAATATATGTGTGTGTGTGTGTGTGTGTGTGTGTGTGTGTGTGTGTGTGTGTATAGAGAGACAGAGCGCAAGAGAGAGAGAAGCTGGTTTTTCACTGCCTTTGATGACTAATGGAGCCTTTCTCCCTCAAACTGAAACTCCATCTTTATTATGATGAAATGTTATGTGTATGGTTTTGTTCTAGAGTTTCTGTTTGGCCCCATGGTCTGTTCGTCTTCCTATCTCTGCTGCTTTGATGAGATTATTTCCGCCTCATCAGTACACTTGTTATTTGGTAGATTCTCATGTTTATTTTTCCAGATACAATTTAAAATAGTCTTGTCTAGTTCAAAAATAATGTAAAAGAAGAAAGTAAAAAATTCCTGATATCATTGATCTAAATGTAAAGATAAAGCCATACAAATACCAGAGGAGTGTGTGGATGGGTCCTTTATACTCCAGAACAGAAGTATGACTTAAAATCCAGAAGCAATGAGAGAAAAGACTGAAAAATTGACAGTATAAAAATTTTTAATTTTACATACAAATATCTGACATAAGCAAAGTAAAAGATAAATAATAAAATGGGAAAAGTTGTTTGCATCTTATATCACAAAAAGTTTGATATATGAGCTTCTAAAAATTGAGAAGAAAAATGAGATAAGACATACAGATAATTCATAGAGAGAAATGCAAATGATCCAAAACATGAAAAGATGCTCAATCCTATCTATATAAAAGACTAGTATGCAAAGTGTCCCCTCAGGAGTTCGACTGGGAAACTGGGAGTTGGATCACTCGCTGTGACGTGTGCTAATCACCAGGGGCGGGGCGTGGAAAGAAGGGAGGCCCCAGCCGGCAGCCGGCAGCCACTAAGGACCATACCTGTGCACGAATTTCATGCACTGGACCTCTAGTTCATAATAAGAGAAATGCAATTTATCTATGCCCAAGATACCATTTGCAGTTACCGGATTTGCAAAAATCCTTCCTCCCCCCCACCCTCAAAAAGGGACAGCAAAGATTGTTAGCAAGGCTGGGATAAAATAGACACCCTCAGACTTTGTTGGCAGGAATTCGAAATGGGGCCACCCTTGTGGAGAAGAGCAGGGCTGTGCTGGCACAATTACACACGGCTTCACCCTCTGACATAGACCCTACCATTTTGCATATTTTGGTGAATTAATAGATTTGGGCAGTGATTACTGATGGCTATTAAAAACATTAGATGGCCAAAACCGGTTTGGCTCGGTGGATAGAGCGTCGGCCTGCGGACTGAAAGGTCCCAGGTTCGATTCCGGTCAAGGGCATGTACGTTGGTTGCGGGCACATCCCTAGTGGGGGATGTGCAGGAGGCAGCTGATCGATGTTTCTCTCTCATCGATGTTTCTAACTCTCTATCTCTCTCCCTTCCTCTCTGTAAAAAATCAATAAAATATATTTAAAAAAAAAAAAAAAAACAAAAAACATTAGATGAAAAGTTGATGAGAAATTTTGTAATTGATGAATGGGACTGACAACACCTGCTCCAACCCATCAGCCTTAACATTGAAAAGAAACAGCTGGGCATCAAATGCCTCTTGATGCAATTGGGAGTACTTATTTTAACATCAATGACAAATATTAAAATTAACAAAAAATGATCCTATCTAATAAAGAGGAAATATGCTAATTGACCCTCACACCATCGCAAAGATGGCGGTGCCCACAGCCAATTAAGAGGGAATATGTTAATTGACTGTCACGCCCTCAAAGATGGTGGCACCCACAGCCAATAAGGAGGGAATATGCTAATTGACTGCCACGCCCTCAAAGATGGCGGCGCCCAGTCCCCTCAACCCCGCCACTCAGGGCCGGCCTGAGGCACAAGCAAGCCTCAGATGGTGGCTGCCCAGCTGCCCAGGGCCAGCCCGAGGCACAGGTAACCAGGGCCGGCCGAGGCTTGCACTGCCAGCAGTGGCAACAGCAGAGTTGTGATGGGGGCGTAGCCTTCCCCTGATCGCTGGGTCACCTCCCACCCCTGAGGGCTCCTGGACTGTGAAAGGGATCAGGCTGGGCTGAGGGACCCCTCCACCCAGTGCATGAATTTCATGCACCGGGCCTCTAGTATAAAAATAAAAGGGGAGGGGAACTGCTATAGATCAATTAAAGAACTTGAGATATATGTTAACCAGATGCAATTTGTGGACCATGTTTGGATCTTAATCTAAACAAAGCAATTATAAAAAGAGCTTTTTTTGAAACAGTCTGAAATATTTGTATATTGACAGGGTAGTAGATAAAATTAAAGTATTAATTTTTCATATTAATGATAGGTTGTGATTATTAAGAAAAATATTCCTTATCTGTTTGAAATAAACATGGAAATATCCACAGATTAAATGTGTTTGGAATATGCTTTGAATACTCCAGTGTTTTTTGATGGAGAGGTCTGAGGAGAGTATGGGGGTGGCATAGATCTCACAAAATTGCCAGGTGATGAAATTGAACTTACACGGGCAGTCTGAGGGAGCTAATTGTATTATTTGCTTTCCTTTGGTATATGTTTGATAATTTTCAAGTTAACTTTTTAAAAAATTCCAAATAATCTAATTCTTCAGGAATAATTATGCTAACAATATGACATAAAGTCTTGGATTTTTTTCTACAACTGGATGTATGCATTTGTGAATGGATAGATGTACACATTTAAACATAATTTTTCTAAAAATGTGATTGAGCTATGATTGTGAAGGTTGTATCTTTAGCATTTACTTCATATGGATTCTATTTTGATATATGATGTGCATTAAGGACCTAATTTTTTCCAAATGGTTAACTCATTGTCTCATCTTCAGTGAATTAAAATGGCACCTTTGCCAGAGCCTAAATTTCCCTGTATGCACAGTTCAGCTTCTATACTACTATTTGACCAGTCCCCTCTATAAGGGTATGGTTAATAATTAGTAGGGCAAACAATCTTCCTTTCCTGATTAAAATGTTCTAATAAATATGTTTTATTCAAGAAAAAGAAAACAGCCTGGCCAGGTGGCTCAGTGGTTGAGCATCAACCCAGGAACCAAGAGGCTGCTGGTTCGATTCCCCGTCAGGGCACATGCCTGGGTTGCAGGCTCAATCCTCAGTACAGTGTGTGCAGGAGCAGTCAGTCAGTGATTCTCTCTCATCATTGATGTTTCTTTCTCTCTCTCTCTCTCTCTCTCTCTCTCTCTCTCTCTCTCTCTCTCTCTCTCTCCCCCCTTCTCCCTCCCTCCCTCCCTCTCTCCCTCTCTCCCTCTCTCCCTCTCCCTCTCCCTCTCCCTTCAATAAAAATATATTTTAAAAAAAGAAAACATTTTTTCAGATCTGACATATTTCTTTAGAAACCAGACACCTTATTCCTCTGTTTCTAAATGCTTTCAGTCTATCCTTACAGTTTTCCCCACAGTCATACCATCTGTAAATATGATAATTTATATCTCCTGTTTTAATTGTATTGGCTACATGTCCAGAATAATGTTAAACAGTGATGATTATGGCAGACATAGTACACAATTTTATTTTATTTTTTTTTATTTTATTGATTTTTTACAGAGAGGAAGGGAGAGAGATAGAGAGTTAGAAACATCGATGAGAGAGAAACATCGATCAGCTGCCTCCTGCACATCCCCTACTGGGGATGTGCCCACAACCCAGGTACATGCCCTTGACCGGAATCGAACCCGGGACCCCTCAGTCCACAGGCCGACGCTCTATCCACTGAGCCAAACCGGCTTTGGCAGTACACAATTTTAATGATAATGTCCTTTTGCTTTAGCTTGTGGCTATGGTTTTAAGATAGATGTTTTAAAAAATCAAGTTAAGTATATTCTTACTTTACTAAGAGTTTTTTAAATCAAATGAGGACTTTGAATTGTATTAGTCACCATTTGCACTTGCTAAGATAATCGTGTAATTTTTTCTTTTGAACTTATCAGTGTGATGATTATAGTAATAAATTTCCTAAAACCATCCAGGAATTCTCTCTGAACATATGCCATGTGAAAATGATATATTTTTCACCATACTTCAGGAGTTAATATTTTTTTTAGAATTTTGTCTCCAAAACCTTAGGTGACTACCCTTTAAGTCAGGCTAGCCTGTAGCTCTCATTGTTGGGTTAACTTTAACTTGACATATCAAGCCCATTATTCTTCATAGGTATGAGTTCTTGCTATAAAATGTATTTGCTCTGCATAATACTTTATTGTGGAAAGTAACAGGGCTTGCATAAACATTATAAATACTATAACCATTATATTTCTTTTAAAATTGTTTTCTAGTTTTAATAGAGTGAGAGAGATTTTAAATTTTTTGAATATTTTGCAGCATAACTAAAATATTTCATCTTAAATTATCTGATGTGCTTATAGAAAATTCAGTATAATACAGTGGGGCCTTGACTTACGAGTTTAATTCGTTCCGAGACCGAGCTCGTTAAGGAGTTTGTTAAGGAGCTCGTTAACTCAAATTACTCTGTCAACTCAATGCAAAAAATCAGCCGAGAGACAGCTGGTATCTCAAAAAACTCATTAGTCAGGACACTCGTAAGTCAAGGCCCCACTGTATATAATTATGGAGTCTTATTGATTCAGCACAGTTATGTTTTTTGGCTTAAAAATATTAGAATTTTATTTTATTTGGTCTGTTCCTTAATATTTTTATTTACATGAATTTCCATGCAAGTTCTATCATAGTGGAGCAAAATGTTACCAAGGAGACAAGTGTAAATTTTCACATGATGATTTGACAAAAGAAACGAGGAAACTTTTGGACAAAGTAAGTAATGTTTTTGTTCCTTGATTGTTAAGTCTCTCTACAGATTTATTTGACTTGAATCATGTTTTATAAAACTGCTCATAAGTCAGGGATTTGTTATTTCATGTTTCATTAATACAGTGTTTTAGAAAAGCAGAATATTGGGCTAGGAATTAAGAATCTTTTATTCTCATCCTTGTTTTGCTGTTAAAAAGCTAGTTTACTCTGAGAAATATCCTTTACCTCTTTGAACTTCATTCTCTTTATGAAAATGAGTTTGTGTGTGACCCATGCAGCTTAATGTTATATTTTCCTATTAATAGAACTAATTTACTTAACTCTTTATACAATGTTAAACGTGAGGAAGATAGTTTGTTTTTATGTGGTAATCTTTGCCAATTATTTTCAGGTGTTGAACACTGAAGAGGACCCCACAAATGAGGATGAAAGAGAGTTAGAGGAACTTAGGAAGCGTGGCATAACCCCTCTTCCCAAACCACCTCCAGGAGTGGGGCTCCTGCCAACCCCAGCAGAGCACTTTCCCTTTTCTGATCCTGAAGATGACTTTCAGACAGATATCTCTGATGATTTCAAGAAAATCCCATCTCTTTTTGAAATAGTTGTAAAACCTACTGTGGACTTAGCACATAAGATTGGGAAGAAGTAAGTTAACGTTTTCAAAAACGGTGGCATTTTCTCCCTAGAAATACTTCTTAAGAAACTAAGTTGTGTCTATGTTAATCGTGTGCGTAAGCTCAGGTAGAGATAGCAGCTGTCCTAGCACGCACCTGATTGCTTCCTCCCACATCCTCCTGCCCGTCCTCTGCTGCCTCCTCTTAGCTTTCTCTATAGAATCCTGAGCCAGCTTCAGAACCTCCTCACAGTGATGAGGACTAGAAGAGAACCAGTCAAAACATTTATCTCTGGGTGATGGGATTAGGGGTGTTTCTTATTTGTCTTTGTACTTTCTGCATTTTTCAAAAGCAGTAATGAATACGATTTTAGAACAACAGTTAATAAGCAGCAACTTAGAAAACTATGGGCTAAAACACAGGCAGGATGCACATGTTGGTCCTTCCAGTTACTATAGGTAATATGAAATAAATGCCTTCTTAGAAGCAGACTATTCTCCTCTGATATAGAAAACACATGTAACCATTTAAAAATGTGACATTCTTGTTTGTCTCTTTTCTTTGAACTAAGAAATACTATTCTTTCTGTCTACAGACCACCAGCATTTTATAGCAGTGACTCGCCACCAGGACCACAGTATCAGGAAAGCAGCCCACATCCTCAGCATATCTACAGTTCTGGGTCAAGTCCAGGTCCCGAACCTAATATGTCTCAGGGACACAGTATTCCTGTGATGCACTCAGGCTCCCCTAGACATCATCCATGTGCAGGACCTCCTGGCCTACCAGTGCCACAGAGCCCACCTTTGCCACCCGGTCCACATGGAGCTGGAGTAATTGTTCAACCAGATGCATCTTTGACAGTACCAAGTATGAGTGGTGCTTACCATTGTCCGGGCTTTCCAGAACACATGATGAAAGTACCCAGAGAGAATCACGGTTCTCCAGGCTCATCACACCTGCAAGGTTCTGGTGAAATGCAGCTCAACACCAGTTATGAGTCCCTACAAAACCCCGCTGAGTTTTATGAGAATTACTATTCTCAGCATGGTGCACCTAATTTTCAGCCACCCACTAACTCTAGTGGTAAGTGTACCTTTCAGAATCAAGCTAAATATTTAGAGTCCTATCTTTCATTAAAAGGATAATAAGTATGTTTTAAATAAAGCTACATGAAAACAAATAAATCTAAGTAAAATGTGATGAAATTGAGACCTTAAATATGTTTTAACTTTCTTTTGTTAATTCCCACCTGAAGATATTTTTTCCACTGATTTTTAGAGAGCGGAAAAGAGAAAGGGAGGTAGAAAGAGAAAAACATCAATGTGAGAGATACATTGATTGGTTGTCTTCCAACCAGGGTCAGGATCAAACGTGCAACCCATGCACATGCCCTTGACCAATATGAAACCCGAGACCCTTCAGATCATGGACCCATGCTCTAACCACCACGCAACACCAGGGAAGGCTTCAAATTTAACCAAACATTTTTAATAATAGAACTTCAGATAACTTCAAAAATATTTACAATCATATAACAGTTTTCTAATCAAATGTGATTATTAGTAGGGCTTCAATTTCTTATAACTCACAGGGGTACTCTCTCATGGAATACTGTACTTTAATCAATGTCTGTTTCTTTATTATGTGCAGATGGGATGTGGCATGACGAGTTTGCTCAGCATCAGCCTCCCATTGTTCAAGACTCACCTAACCGTGGGAGTGGGTGTGATGGCAGCAGCAGCATGACAGGCCATGACCCCCTGCCTGCACCAGGCCTCCTCCCTGCAGTGCAGAGAGCTCTTTTTGTCAGACTTACTCAGAAATACCAAGACGATGAAGAACCAAGCAGCACCCACCCTCACAGGGCATCTAGCAAAGAAGAAGGTCTGTCATGTTATTTTTTCATAATGGTGCAAAGAATATTGTCATACAAGCGTCTGAGTCCATGTTGTTGTGGGTTTTTTAAAATATATTTTTATTGATTTTTTACAGAGAGGAAAGGAGAGGGATAGAGAGTTAGAAACATCGATGAGAGAGAAACATCGATGAGCTGCCTCCTGCACACCCCTTACTGGGGATGTGCCGGCAACCAAGGTACATGCCCCTGACCTGAATCGAACCTGGGACCTTTCAGTCTGCAGGCCGATGCTCTATCCACTGAGCCAAACTAGTTAGGCTGAGTCCATGTTTTTAATTCTTTTGGAATATACCGAGGAGTGGTCTTGCTGGGTCATTTGATAACTATATGTTTAACTTTTTGAAGAACCACCAGATTTTTCCACAGTGGCTGCATCATTTTACATTCCCACCAGCAATGTAGGAGGGTTGCAATTTCACTATATTCTCACCTATACTTACTATTTTCTCTTTTTGAAATTATTATTTTAGCCATCCGTGTAGGTGTGAAGTGATACCTCATTATGATTTTGATTTGCATTTCCCTAGTGGATATGTCACATGTTATGATACAGCATCTCACAACCTGTTTGGGTCACAGTTCCTAAAATGGTCTTAAATAGGTTAAAGTTTGAAAAAATGAGTTTCTCTGAACTGTCTCTCATATTTCCAGCTTACTTCATAGCTCCTTTCTTGGGGATTGTTTGTGGTTTCCATGCCATTGGTATATTAGCAATTGATTGCAAGGGGGTTGACTTGAACCAGTGATTAGATCTGAAATTAGAGTGCAAGGCCTAAGTGAGCAGACTTGCTATTTATTGGGCCTTTTTATTTTGGAAGACAATAAATAGAAAAGGGACGAGACACCTTTCAATTCAGGAATTTGGACTTCTAGACCAAGCTCAAAACAATTCAGTTATTAGAGGAATGTTTATGGGCATAGACTATACACTTCAGATTCTGCTATATTATTTATATATACTAGAGGCCCGGTGTACGACATTCATGCATTGGGGGTTGTGGGGGTTTCTCAGCCTGACCTGCACCCTCTCCAATCTGGGAGCCCTCAGGAGAGCCCTCTCCAATCCAGGAGTTTCTGTCTGTTTGTGCAGTCATATGAGCGAATTGTCTGAGACCCCAACTCAGTTTGGTTTGTTGCTCACAGAATAATAGAGGCATATTTTTTTCTTTGCTTCATTGGTGGAGATTTCCTGGAAGTTTTAGGATATCTTCCCTTTAATTTTTCCTAGACACTCTGATTTTACTTATGTCTCTCACCTTTGCTATCCCGCCGTCCCCCACCGCCACAGTAACTTGCTCCAGGCTCACTTTGCTCTGCAATGCTCTCAACCTTCCTAATGTCGCGACCCTTTAATACAGTTCCTCATGTTGTGGTGACCCCCAACCATAAAATTATTTTCATTGCTACTTCATAACTGTAATTTTGCTACTGTTATGAATCGTAATGTAAGTATCTGATATGCAGGATGTATTTTCATTGTTCGCAACCCAAAGGTTGAGAACCGCTGCTAGTGTCTAAGAGATCCGTCTGCCACCAGAACTATGATTCCCAGCATTCCTGATGCTCCCCGCGCTCTTGGTTTTCCCTTCCTACTCTGTCTCTGTTCCATGGCCTCCTACTCTGCCAAGTCCTCCAAGCTGCCAGCTCTCCCTCTCTGCTCTCTGTCTGGCGGCTTGGGGAGCCAATTTCCCCAAGCTGTTCCACTCTCCACTGGCTCACCCATTCTGCTCTCCACCCGGCGCCTGTGTATGCAAATTAACCCGCCATCTTTGTCAGGTTAATTTGAATACTCCTGATTGGCTGGTGCATGTAGCGGAAGGATGGTCAATTTACATGTTTCTCTTTTATTATATAGAATAAAAGCCTAAGCGACCATTATGAATGGAACAACTGGTCAACCAGTTACTATGACGCACATTGACCACCAGGGGGCAGATGCTCAATGCAGGAGCTGCCCTCTGGAGGTCAATGCACTCCCACAGCCAACCTCCCACAGTCCTTCTCCACAGCCATCTGGAGCGCCCCCCCCCCCAATGACCCCAATCACCAGCCAGGCCAAGGGACTCCACCTGTGCACGAATTCATGCACTGGGCCTCTAGTTAGGGAATGTTATTCTATATAATAAAAGCGTAATATGCTAAGTGTTCAGTTGTCCAGTCACCCATTCAACCAATCAAAGCATAATATGCTAATGATATGCTAAGGCTACTCAACCACTTGCTATGATGTGCACTGACCACCAGGGGGCAGACAGTTGACCAGTCACTATGACATGCACTGACCAGCAGGGGGCAGACACTCCGACTGGTAGGTTAGCTTGCTGCTGGGGTCTGGCCAATCGGGACTGAGTGAGAGGAGCTGGATACACCCTGGAGCCCTCCTGTGGTCCCTCCGCTGGCCAACCTCCCTCATCCCTCCCCAGCCCTGATTCTGCACTGGTGGGGTCCCTCGGCCTGGCCTGCAGCCTCTCACAATCTGGGACCCCTTGGGAGATATTGGAGAGCTGACAGCCCGATCCCGCAGGCCAGGCTGAGGGACCCCACTGGTGCATGAATTCGTGCACTGGGCCTCTATTTTTCAATATAAAAGATAATATGGAGACACTAAGTTTACCTTAGTGTTTTCAATGTTGATAAGTGTATAGCATCTAGTTAATTAAGGAGAGAAAAGTTTAAGGCATCCAGTTCTTACAAATTAGAAAATCTTAAACATAAAATTTATTAATAACTATCTAAAACTATGACAGGTAGCTACAAGCTATTACATAAATATACATTATATTTTCAAATACGGTAACATTAATTCTTCATTTACTTAACATCACAGGGAAATGAGGGTTACCTAATAACTTAATTTCCTGTACAATTTATATTTATTCCTTTAAGTGCTAAAACTTTCATTTAAAAAACAACAACCATTTATCAGTCAACTTTTTAGTCTTACAGAGCTTTATGTTTTCATAAGCAAGAAAATAACTTTTCTAGATGATAAAAAATCCTATATAATAAAAAGATAATATGCAAATTGACCATTATGCCCTCGCACAAGATAGCTGCCCCCATGTGGTCAAAGGTGGTCTGCAGGGGAGAGCAGTGAGGGTGACGAGGCCAGCAGGGGAGGGCAGTTGGGGGGGGGGCAGGCCTGCAGGGGAGGGCAATTAGGGGGGACCAGGCTGGCAGGGGAGGGCAATTGAAGGCGACCAGGCATGCAGGGGAGAGTAGTTGGGGGGGACCAGGCCAGCAGGGGAGGGCAGTTAGGGGTGACCAGGCTGTCAGGGGAGGGCAGTTATGGGGGGACCAGCAGGGGAGGGCAGTTAGGGGTGACCAGGCTGTCAGGGGAGGGCAGTTATGGGGGGACCAGGCCAGCAGGAGAGGGCAGTTAGGGGTGACCAGGCTGTCAGGGGAGGGCAGTTATGGGGGGACCAGGCCTGCAGGGGAGGGCAGTTGAGGGCAACCAGGCTGGCAGGGGAGGGCAGTTAGGGGCAATCAGGCCAGCAGGGGAGTGGTTAGGGTGTGATCAGGCTGGCAGGCAGAGTGGTTAGGGGCAATCAGGTAGGCAGACGAGTGGTTGGGAGCCAGTAGTTCCGGATTGTGAGAGGGATGTGCAACTGCCAGATGTCCGACTAAACCGGCAGTCGGACATCCCCCAAGGGGTCCCAGATTGGAGAAGGTACAGGCTGGGCTGAGGGACAACCCCTCCCCCCCACCCCAGTGCACTAATTTCTTGCACCGGGCCTCTAGTTTTATAATATTATACAACTGGTGATGTTTTATAAAGGTTGTTTTCTCTATATACAGAAAAAGTCTTGACCAGCTAGGATTTTTGTGTATTTGTTGTTATATTCATAAAATTTTAATGCCTTTAAATTGTATCTGTCCCTTGATAAAAAGTTGTTACTCATCATTTCCTGTCTAATATTTGCTGCCTGTTGTCCTCTGCTGTTCTACTTTCCTTCTGTTCTATATTCATTCTCATTCCAAAAGGGATTTGACTGCTTATTAAATATGTTCATATGAAAGTGAGAATAAAATAGCATCTTCCCTCTTTGGGTCAGGTAACAACTTCTGTGAGGAGCAAAGTTACTCTACAGAAACATTGAAAATGAATTGCAAGCCCAGCTCTAGGCCTCCTGGAGGTCCAAGAAAAGAAGGAAAGAGACCTAGAATCTAAACTTTGTTTTCCATACCCTGAGACCCAAAAAAACCTTTTGCTATTGTGACATAGTGTATTCTATATTAAGACACATCCCCACCCTAAACACCATTGCTTATTTTGTGAGCACTGCTCTGTTCAAACTAAGAGGGTAACACTAAAGTTCCATGAGGTAGAAACACATTAGTAAGCAGTGCAAGGAGGTAAAAGAAGAATATCTGCAATGGTCTATTGGTCTGGGATATTCTAGGGCAGTGGTTCTCAACCTTCTGGCCCTTTAAATACAGTTCCTCATGTTGTGACCCAACCATAAAATTACTTTTGTTGCTACTTCATAACTGTAATGTTGCTACTGTTATGAATCGTAATGTAAATATCTTATATGCAGGATGGTCTTAGGCGACCCCTGTGAAAGGGTCTTTTGACCACTAAAGGGGTTGCGACCCACAGGTTGAGAACCGCTGTTCTAGGGTGTGTGTGTGTGTGTGTGTGTGTGTGTCCAACTTAGTGTCGACCTGTATGTGTCTGAATTGAGAGGAAGGAGACTCGCCTTATCATACCTTCTACTCATTGTGCGCAACACACTAGGGATAAAAAGACTTTAGGAGTAAGGCCCAAAGTGTTCTCATAAAGGTCAAGTATATAAACTTTAGGATGTTAGTTTTGTTTGATATTTTTAATTTAGTGCTGGAATAGCTAATATAGTCACATAGGTCAAATATCTAAAATGTAAAATACAAATGAAGAGTCTGCACCTCACCCCTCATTTGCTCAGTTCCCATGGCTTCCTTAACTGTCATTATTAGTGCTCTGTTGTCTTTCCAAACATATTTTTATATCTCTCCCTTGCTATCAAAATAAATGAAGAGCTTAAGGATTACTTGAATTAAGGAGACCCAAAACTTTTTCATCTTCTGTCCCCAGAGGATTTTGCCTTCTCCCTGAAGCCTGTTACACCACACAGGCTCTGAGTTCCCTTGGCCAACTGGCAGGAAAGGCCCTGGCTTTCTTTGGCTGGAAGGACTTGCACATGTCCCAGTATCCCAGCTGTCTTTCCAGAGTGTGATAACCAAATTGATGGTCATCATACCATATCCTGCCTTGTTCCGGTGTTGAAACCCTAGCATTTCTATGATGACATTGTCTTTCTGGCACATGGGGCAATGCCCAACCAACTGAGCCACACTGGCCAGGGACGATGATGCATTGTCTTGAAGTTAGACTTCAGAAATAGCATGTGCTTTTTTATCTTAATTCAGGCTGAATCTGCATGCTTCATTCTTTATAATAAGTCTTTGTCTGCATTTAGATGATCCTGTTAACTGGTATTCCAGTAGTGAAGAGGATGAAGGGAGCAGTGTCAAGGCAATCCTGAAAACGTTACAGAAACAAACAGAAACTTTAAGGAGTCAGCAGCAGTCTTCCTTGGAACTTGGCACTCCTACTGATCCAAGACTTGCTAAAGAGAAGAGTAAAGGTAACCAGGTGTCTGACCCTCGACTTAGGACCATCCCAAGACAAGACATTAGAAAGTCTTCTGAGTCTCCCGCACAGGGTCTCAGACTCGTGTGGGATCCCAGGAAACCAAGAGGAAACGGAAGTGGGCAGGTGAGCTCCTCTGCTGGCGCAGCAAAGTGCGATTTACATCATGCACATTCTGGCGCTAACATCAAACACAAGAGAGGAGATGATGAGGAAGAGGACACAGAACGAGAACTGAGAGAAAAGGCTTCCTTAATACCCCTGGACTCTCCCCCCGGGGCAGTGCTCCAGGACCCACGGTCGCAGCTGAGGCAGTTCAGTCACATTAAAATGGATATCATACTCACCAAGCCCAATTTCGCAAAACACATCGTGTGGGCTCCAGAGGACTTACTTCCAGTCCCTTTACCAAAACCGGACCCCGTCTCTTCAATCAGCTTACCTCTGCCCCCTCTTATAGCTGACCAGAGGCTATGGAATTCGAAAAGCGATCTCCATCAAAGCATAGTTCCCCTGGATTCAAAATTGGCAGTCAAAGCCAAAATTAACACAACAAGCAGAGAAGGCTACCTGGAACCATTTGGGGACTTGCACAGCTCAGCAAGTAAATTGGGAGACCCCAGGCTACAAAAAAAATGTGATCCGAGACTTCACAGACTGCACAACACAGTGTCTCAGCAAGCAGTTACGAAGGAGTCACATACACCAAAGTGTGCCCCTCACTTGGCCAGGTCAAGCCCTGGTGCATCGCAGCCCTCGGCGGCAGTAACCAGCAACTCTGGGCCTGGGGTTTTGCCTCCCTACACTCCTAAACTGTCGCCTTCAGCTGGTGTTCCACTGGGGACTCCAAGTTCAGTTCTCAGTGGTATTAGTTTGTATGACCCTAGGGAGCCTGGCTCATCATCTGCACCAGAGCCAGCAACGGAAAATGCAGAGAACCAGAAAAAAAGTGGTGGTTTAAAAGGCAGTGACAAAAATGAGCACGCTCCTGGAGAAGCAGCCCTGCCACAGAAAACCACTGCCGACGCGGAGGCCACTGTCCATGGGCCAGCCGACGCACCGGCCCATGTCCCCAGCAGCTCCTGTGCAGGCCAGGTCCCCGCAGTGCACAGCCTTCCTGTACAGGCGTTAGCAGGCTTAATGAGACCCCAGTACAGCGATCCCAGGCAGTCCAGGCAGCTGGGACAGCTGAGCCCCACCCCAGAGGATAACCCCAGTGGGGAAACAGATGACAAATCTCTGAAAGAGGTTTTTAAAACTTTCGATCCAACTGCTTCACCATTTTGCTAGCTACTGTGTAATTAAGCAGTTCTTTTCAGTCTCGTGACCATCGCAGTCCTCGCTGTTTTGTAACTGGTTTACCTCTATAGTTTATTTATTTTTAAATTATGAACACTTTTCAGCTGCTAGTATCAGAACCACATGAAGTTATATCCTCTAAAGGCTGTGGTATTTTATATAATATTTTTATAAATTTAAGAGACTGTAGCAAGTGACATAGAAACCTATATATCATGTTAGCTTCAGTAAAAATACTTTTTTTGTAAATAAACCATCATGAACTGGACACTCTGCCTGAATATATGCCAGTTGTCTTTCTTAATCAATGTTTAGATAAATGATTACCACTTTTATATGGTTGTTCATTTCAAGCAATATGATGTATATTACTTTTGGGAAACAGTATTTTGACTAGGATCCTTTCTGTCAACACATAACTGCTAACAAAAATGTAAAATGAAATAAAACATTTTAAATCATAGCAGAACAGTTCATATTTAAGGGCATCACTTTTATTAATGTGGGCAATATTACTTGTGTAAATGAAGCATTTGAATGTCATATCTTTTAAAAAATATTTTATTGTATCATAGAAGTTAGAGATATATAAGTAGATTGTTTTGCTGAAGTGAAAATTCGCAAGTTCTCTGACATACCTTTTTACAGTTAATTTTCATATTAAATAGTTATGAGTTACTGCTGTCACCTGGTGATGTTTATGTGTGCTCATGTGTTTTGTCTTTAGCAGCATAATTTATATTACTTTTTCAAATGATGTAGCTACAATAATTGTATTCATCATGACCTTGGCAATTTTTACAAACTCTTAAAGATTCAGTGAAAGTCTATCGTGATTATTGCATTGATAATGTTTTAAGTGTCCAGATTCCATATTTTTTTAAATAGCAAGAAAACACAGAGATATTGTGGTCAACTGTGTGGCTGCCAATAAAAAACTTTCAGATCTCACATGACTGGCGTTCTATAACAGAGTTTGGAAATCCCCTAAATTGGTTAGAAATTGCATTTTTATGAAAAATAACATATAAATTCTTGTGTATTTATTGCAGTCTAAAATAATAGCAGCCTTACCAGTTTCATGCATTTATTATTTATAATGGAAGCAGTTTCCACTGATACTGATGTCTTGAACTGAAAGATTATGAAAGTGTTTGCTGGTAACAATTTCAGCAACTTGAACAAAGGAACATTTCCTCACAAAAGATAATGAAAGTGATGGATATCAGTCCTTGGGTGAACAGCTGTCCTTGAGAAGTGATGTAAAAATATACAGCAAAATATTTCTCTAGGAACCTATGGTTTAATGTTAAAGCCTGCCCTGTATGTTCACTTCCTAACCCTTTACCTTTTGCTTGGATCCTGCGTTCCCAAAGGGTTAAGTGAACAGAACTCTGCCAACCTAAGAAGCTCACTTTGTTCAAGGAAAGGTGAATTTCTGCTATTTATACTTCGTCTACACTGTTGTCTAAAATGGCTCTGGATAATATTTTTAGGTTAAAAATGCAGTTTAAAGCCACCATAGAAAATATTTTCTGTTCAAACAAACTTTATTATTAATTGAAAAGTCACTGAAATGAATAAAACTGACAGAAAACAAGATTTTATATATATGTATAATCATATATATTAGTAGTTATATATTATACATATATATGATTATATATCTTTGCTATTATGTATAGATTATATATATCTTTGTTAAAGACTAAAATGTAATCCAAATCCTTAACAGAAGATATTTTTTACTACTAAAATAGATGTTAAAAAGTTAATTAAAAAGTAAAGTTTAAAAATCATTAATGCAAATAATAATTTTCATTTACTCAGTATCCTTGAATCCATATTTTATCAGCTAATGTCCTAGAACAGCGGTTCTCAACCTGTGGGTCGTGACCCCTTTGGGGGTCGAACGACCCTTTCACAGGGGTCACCTAAGACCATTGGAAAAGACATATGTAATTACATATTGTTTTTGTGATTAATCACTATGCTTTAATTATATTCAATTTGTAACAATGAAACTACATCCTGCATATCTGATATTTACATTACGATTCATAACAGTAGCAAAATTACAGTTATGAAGTAGCAACGAAAATAATTTTATGGTTGGGGGTCACTACAACATGAGGAACTGTATTAAAGGGTCGTGGCATTAGGAAGGTTGAGAACCACTGTCCTAGAAGCTATTTTACAAGAAAGTTTGGACTTACTTTCAAATTTAACAATATATTTTACATGAAAATGTGCTGTTTGTGTTTAAAATAATGATTTCTATCTGTGATGCTTTTTAAATTGTAACATTAGCTTAGGAGATATTGTTACATCCTATCAACTGCGGTTATTTTTTAAAAGATTTTTTATTGATTTTTAGAGAGAGAGGAAGGGAGAGGGAGAAAGAAAGAGAAACATTGATGTGAGGGAGAAACATTGATCAGCTGCCTTTTGCACTCCTCCTAGTGGGGATTGTGCCCACAACCCAGGCATGTGCCCTGACCAGGAATCAAACCAGCCACCTTTCGTTCCATGGGACGACGCCGAACCTGAGCCACACCAGCCAGGGCCAAACTGGATTATTTTTATGTTTCTTTTTTCCTATTTTCTCACCAAGTTAATAGTAGCCATTTTCCCCAAAGAATAAGCTCCTCTTTAAGGAGAATTGTGATTTTAAAATCCATGGAATTTGATTTATACTATAGTATGCTGAGGAGTATGTTATGTCCCTATTCTTAGAAGCCAAACATTTATAGATAACAGAAGTAACTTGCATCTTAAAAGAGTCTGGATTGGATTCATTGGTTGGGATGTGACGTAACCATTCATACTGGTTTGTGACAGAAGTTTTATGCCTGTTCACTTTGATGTTGAATAGAGTAGGATATTCAGGATGTTGATTTTTGATTCCCAGAGCAAATGTTTTCCCATTACTTCTTTAGTTTTGCTCCAAACTCCTGTCTCTGGAGCTTTCCCAGTTAGGACCTCATTCTGAACCTTGAAGATGAGTCAAGTATTAGAGTGATTTCAAACTCTGTTTCCGTCGGACCACTGTGATCCGCCCTTGAGCCACACCCCAGTGTTAGGCTGCAACCAAAGCAGTCTACATTTGAAATGATGTTGGGTTAGGTTTCTGTCTGTCTGTAGACCTGTTTGGACTTCAAATGGTAGTTTTTATTCCTGGTCCCCCTTATTTTAAGACTGGAAGAATGGTTGTTTAGTAAATAAATCCTGGATGAGCATTCATATAAGGCTTATATGAGCTTATTATAAGCCACTTTGCTGAATTAATTAGAAGGGAGAGGGAGGAAAGGAGAACTTATGAGGGCTGGAGGTTCAAAGCCCATGAATTCATATTCTTGTTCTGATATGATAAGCATTTCATCTCATGTGTAGTTTCTTGTCTGTGAAGTGGGGATAATTTTTACTGCTCACAAGTTAGACTTAAGGAGGAAATGAATTATTAAGTATTTATAAATATAAAATTGCTTCATAACTTTCACAAACATAATACACTCCCATTAGAGTAACAAAGCCCAAATTAACCTGCCTCTTTTAGAAAGAATATGGGTCTAAGAAAGGACATTAGGTTAACATCAATATAATATTTAGAATATATAATTTTTAAATGAAAACCACATTTTAAGCTGTAACTTATGCTTTTGAAAACAGGACCCATATGTGTCTCCGTACTTTTCTGTTTTCCCATAGCAACAAGCCTAGCTCTAGGCACACAGTAGGTGCTTTGTTAACTGCTTCTTGAATGCTTCTCACAATCCATCCAGGCTTAGATTTTTCAGGTGCTATCAACTATTAGGGCAGATACGGCAAAGCCATTCTGCGATTGCATTAGAAATACAGTTCATAACTTATACCTCTTTAGGTAGACACTGGGCGCATAGCTTCTCCCCTCTCCCCCATCAACTGAACAATGTGAAGGTAGGGCTGCAGCAGCTCTGCTTGGAGTTAAATGTTTCTAGAATAATTCATAAATCTTAAGAATCCTCCAGACTTTACTTAATGTAACTTAATGGTGGAGGTTTGAATAGATCAATAATTTATTCCTATAGATCTACAAAGGATTATTTCTGTAACCAGAAGGAATTGCATAACTAGAGTCTTATGCTTTTATTTTAAATGTCTTTCTCTAGTTTCTCCCTTTCGGTTATCTTCAAAATATCAACCAAAATTATGAAGATATGCCTAACCTAATGAATTTCCAATAGCACTGAAATGTGTTTCTCCTAACACCATGAACAGTAATTCACCTTTTCAGTCATGAATTGCACTCTAGTGTGGGCCTTGTGTCTGGTCCTTAAACACCCTCGTTACCCTTTGGAACAGAACAGTCATGCTACAGTTGACAAAACTGTTGTGTGCACAATGAAACTCTTCAAACGAGATTGTGAGTCCTTGCAATAGTATCTTACAGTTTTGTTCAACCTTGAATCTCTTGTTTTTTTAAACTTAGAATTTATTTTTTATTAATATGCAGATAATTATAGCATTTTAGAAGAAAATCAGCTCTGTGAATTATCGGGCCCATGCTTCTTGCCTCACTACTCTGCGTGTCACATACTGTTGTCTCAGCGACTCCACGAATGAGTGATGTCCTCCGTGTCCTGGCCTCAGGAGCCCCGCCCAGCAGCTGTAGACTCACGCCTATGGCGTTGTTAACGGAGTCTGTCCTTCTAGTATTTGGCCTTCCCCTCCTCCTGCTGCCTTCTGTTTTTCCCAGTATTATTGTCTTTTCCAAAGAGCCTGCCTTCTCTAGATGTGCCTGAAGTAGGATAGCTTCAGTTTTGTCATACTTGCCTCCAGCAATGTTTTAGGCTTAATTTGCTCTAGGCCCCACTTGTCTGTCTGGTGGCCTGAGTTATTCATAAAGCAATCCTCCAACACCATGTTTCAAATGAATCAATTGTTTTCTATCAGCCTTCTTCCCTGTCCAGCTTTTGCATACGAGGGTGTGGGTAGCCTCGGCCCTGGTCTCTAACGACACATCTTTGCTTTTGGTGATCTTTTCTAATTTTCTCATGGCTGTCCTTCCTAGTCTAAGCCTTCTCTTGATTTTGTGGCTGCAGTCTCCATTTGAATCGATGCCTGATTGCATCAGCTAATATTATTTTATCAGGGGTCTGATGTATAGTTTATTTAAAGGAATTAAAGGACCAACTTTTTTTAAAAAAATTGTTCCAGACCTCCATTATGAGCAATAGCTCGGGATTAGTTGTCAGTGACAGGTTATATATTTTATATGCTTTTTAAAATAGAGGTGAAAAATAACCATTACTGCAGGCAAGAGGTTTTAGTCCACTTCTGTGTTATAGGAGTTTGCCCTCCAAATGTCTGAGAGGCAAGTTGAATAAGGAGATTCTGTTTCCAAGAAGTAGGGTGATATTTCCTTATAAAAGTGACAATCAAGCCAGTTGTTTGTATACGTAACTTGCAAAAGTTTTAAAAAACCTTCAATCTTTGCCCTAAACCCATGCTCCCCCACCCATGACTAGAAAGAGCATGGCTGCCGGGTGCCAGGACCCAGGTCACTTTGCTTTTAGTCCAGGGCTTCTGTGCCTGCCCGTGGCAAGGGTGCTGGTGGCAATGTGTCCTAAGATGCAGTGTGTGTGTGTGTGTGTGTGTGTGTGTGTGTGTGTGTGTGTGTGTGTAGGGGGGAGCTGTGTCCAGACTTAGCATGGCCTGTTTTCTGTCAGATCCTCAAGCACCATCTATCGGCTGAAATCCAGGTGAAACCCATTCAGTATGAAGCAGGTGTTTGTTTTTCACTTCCTAGCATTATTTCAGTTCCCCAAGTTCTATCTTTCCCCAAGTTATAAATGTCGGGGAAATGCTGCCAAAATTGTTTCACTCTGGAAGGTTTTCGTAAATACCAGTTTATTGGCTTCACTCAATTTTTTATCTCCTTTCTGTTCAAAAGATACCAGCAATTAGAGGAT